GGATTTTTTTTAAATGAAAAAAAAAAACAATGTGATGGAGAATTCAAATATGCAGCCCCCTCGCCAACCTGCTGGAATCCTCAAAACCACTTCCCGTGGTTGCTGAAAACCATTTCCAGTGGCCAGCATGTGCAATGGCTTGGGGCAAGTTGGAGCTATTATTTGGGGAGGAAAATTGTCTCCAGACCCTCCCTTGAGCTGGCAATGGTCCCCTGCACCCTTCTTTCCAACAGATCCAAACGCCTGGCAATAGCTGTCCTGCTGCCAGAGTTAGACAGTGGCACCTCTTCCGCCTTATTCTTTTTTAGCTTGCCTGGCCCGGGCCTGCCAGTAGGACACTATGCGTTCACAGTGATGGTACATGAAGACCCCCAAAAGGGTGAGCCCGATGCCCGTGTAGCCCAGCAACGTCAGGTGGCTCCCAAAGAGCAGATGCGAGAGGAGCAGGTTGCCCACGATGTTGAAGTTGCCAAGGACATGGATGGTGAGAGCCGAGGTCAGTGAGATGATGGAGAAGCTGGCCAGGTTGTAGAGCACCGAGCCCAGGCAGCTGAGCAAAATGCAGGCCCAGAGCCCGCCGCCGTAGGCCAGGGTGCCATCCCAGGCGGGACCAACCTCCAGCATCAGGGCCGCCACAAAGAGGATGTAGAAGCTGGGCAGAGAGGTCAGGCAGAGCAAGGTCAGGGAGTCCAGGCGCTCCTCCTGCAGCAAAGTACCTGCCGAAAGACAAGCGGGGTCAACAGAGGGACCAGGACACAATGGCAGCATGAAATGGTGTCACGTACAGTATATTTAAAATCCCAAAATCAAGGTTTTCTTTTTGGAATTCATGCATTTTAAAAATATTTTCAAAACATGGATGCTTGAATCTGTGGATAAAAAATTCCATGGATACGAAGGGCTGACTGTAGGCTGTGAAGCAGGATGAGTTACCATAAAGCCCATCAAAGCCACATAAAGGTACCTATCCCCCCTTACCTTCTACACCCCAACTTTCAGCCACAGCAGTTCTGCCCACAAAAAAATACTACCACTCCCAGAATTCCATGGCAATTAAAGTGGGCTCAAACCAGATTATGTCTGCAGTGTGGATGCAAGCTCTGTGAGGACTAGGCCCTTGACTGCTAACCACCATCAAGACAGTTTAGGAACCAGAGTGCTTGCAATAAGTTTCTTTTCACACTGAATCAGTGTCAAGATTAAAACAAAGAAGAGGCTGTGGTCTTTGTGGGAGCGAAATATACAGTCCTCATAAAGATTCTGCCATTCCCTCATCCAAAAGTCAACAGTAATTTGCAAATGTTGAGCCTCTTGCAGAGAGGACAGTAATAAGGAAGTGCATTTGTGAATTTGCATCAAGGAGAGAGATCCTAGCCATGTCTTAGGCTGCTTCCAGACTGCAGAAATAATCCTGTTTGACCCCACTTTAGCTGCCATGGCTCCATGCTATGGAATCCTGGGAGCTGTAGTTTGTTGTAGCTGTCTGACAGGGAAGGCTCAATGTCCCCCAAAACTATAGATCCCAGAATTCCATAACGCTGAGCCATGGCAGTTAAAGTGGTGTCAAACTGCTTTATTTCTGCCGGCCTTGTCCACAGCCCTTGGATCCCCATGGGTTAGGTCAACCCAAGCCCCTTTGAAATACCAAGGCATGCAGAGCTGGAGAAAATAACTTTTGGCTTAAAAGCCCCTGAATCTCCCAACCAGCATGGCCACACTGGGAAAAGTCCAGGAAAGAAGACTATTTCTCTCTCTTTTTCACGCACACCCATGCAAACCCATAAGTTAAAGGAGACTCTTCCAGTCACAATAAATTCCACCATGATCGGATCCTTGGACAAACCATCAAGACCTGGAAGACAATGCCAAGGAAGCAAAAAAGGAAAAGGCCTATTAGATCCTGTCCATCTGGGACCCTTAAACACTCCTTCGCCACTCAAAACAAAGAAGTTTTCATATTTGAATCTGCCAGCAACGCCACTGCCTTCAAATCTGGAAAGTAAAAAGTCTTTCCAATCCTCAGGCAGCCAAAGGCATCCCCTTGCAAAAACGCGCTTGCAAAAGTGTGCCATGCATGCCCCCAGCCCTGGCAGGCTCTTACTTTGCTGGATGGATTTCAGTCCCCGGAGGAAAGTGGCTGCAAAGAGGAAGCAGCACCCGGCCTGGTCGAAGTGGACCTCCCCGAGGATGGTGAGGGAGGCGCCCAGGCAGATGGGCCCCATGGCGGCATACTGGAGCGGATGGTGGCCCTTCCTCAGGAGGAGCCTGGAGAGGGCCAGGGTGAAGAGCGGGGTGGTGGTGTAGACCATCTGGGCAAAGTCCAGCTGGACGTAGTTGAGGCCCAGGTTCCCAAAGGCCACGCTGGCACAGAAGGTCAGGCTCAGCAGGAAGACCCGGGCCTTGGCGCTCGGGCTGAGGGCAGGGTGGCCATGCCCGCCAGGCCGCAGCTTGGCCAAGGGGTTGCCCACCGCCACCGCCGTCAGCATGTGGAGGGAGGAGAGCAGCACCGGGAAGCGGAAGTTGTGGGTGGCAAAGATCCACTTGTTGAGGCTGGCCATGGTGGTCCCTGTGGCCAGCCAGACCAAGACGGTGGCCAGGAGGGGCAAGGCGGGCAGAGAGCGGGCCTCGGGCCTCGGAGCCCCACCGGGGCCCGGATCCGGCTTCCAAGGGGAAGGTGGGCGTCCTCCATCGGCCGAGCTCATCCCGGCCTTGGCATGTCTCCTCCTGGGAGAGGGCAGGCACATCAGGGAGGGCAGCCTGGCAGAGAGCCTTGGCCTTTGGAGGGCCTGGCAGTGCCCAGGAGGCAAGGGAGGCTCCTGGCTTCTCCTCTTCAAGGAAGGCCTTCGCCTGGGCCTGGGCCCTGGCCAGGGGTCACTCCCTGGGACTGGCCGGCTGGACACAAAGGCGCCTCGGCTTTGCCCACGGACTCTGGCATCCCTGGCAGGCGGAGGAGGAGGAGCTCACAAAAGCCGGCTGGCAGGCATGGAGGAGAGGAGAGGAGA